GCCGGCTTAGCACTGAAGCAAACCTAAATCCTTCCATTGATCAGAACCTACCCCGACGTGCCCACTCTCCGCCCCGTCCCCGCCGTCTGGGCAAACTCGAGCTTCAGGGTAGCCAGAGCCCCCAAGCAGGCGGCCCAAAGGGAGGAGACCGCAGCTTCGAGCCTGCCCCGACGGCTTCGTAAACGATAAAGGAATAGGATAGGACACTATGGAGGGTACTGTAAGGCTACTTTGTTAGAGGGTTACGGGGTTGGGTGCTATAGGACACTGAAGCAGGTACCCTCCAATCACAACTCACAGGCAGCACTACTTCCAGGCCTCTGTGGGTCCTGGATGCTCATCATGGCAACATCTGGCAACAAGCGACAGCTGGACTGGTCGACGTTCGGCAAAAATCCGCAGTATACTTTACACGATCTTCTGGAACACCATTACGTTACCTTGCACTTTCGTTGGCTTGGTTGTATCCAGTCGAGGCATGTGATTCTATCCTATCGAATGGTATAATACTGTATCGCAAGTGTGATTTGTGTCTTCCTATGTCGGCTAGAACTTGGTACAACACGTTCCTCTACGGTATGTATCTGGCTACCCGCCTGTCGGTCACTCAGGTACTGTGAGTTTTTGTGCATGCATGTATGCAATCATACATGCGTGCAGAACATTTGCCTAGACACACGCGTATGTTCGCATACACGACTACCTCCGTGCTCAAGCAGGGATATAACCAATAGAGAGACTTCTCCGACTCAAACCAGGGCACGCAGCTTCTGGCGCAACAGCTGCCTCGCGTCCATCCTCGGAATGGCCCGTGCCATAATTATCCTACCCGAGTCGGGGCTGAAAAAACGGAACACCCCTAGTGTCTCACTTCATGCCTGATGCTTCATACCACTTGGCGCGGTTCGCCCCCATCATACAGTGGAGGATTTTCTGGTGCTACTATACCTGTCCTCTGCCCCTTCTTCCTCGTGGTCTTAGTCTGCTTCTTCTTCCTCCTCTTTTTCTTTCCGGTCTGGCATTTACGGCCTCTTCCCTTTCGCATCCCTCGTCTATGTCGTCCTGCTCTCTTCTTGCTTGCTTCTCCGGCTGCTCCTTCTGTAGCTGCTTCTGCCGCGCCTCACTCGCACGCCTGTTCGCCTTCTCTCGCTATCGCTCACTTTCTCGGTGCATTTCTACTGCCGCACATAGGCTTTCACGGAACTATCCCTAAACCCTAAACCCGCAGCCACAAAATCTAGCGGTAGCAAGCCGCTGGTCAACGTCGGCAATGCCGTCTGCATTCTCATCCTGCTCGGGCCAAAGATCTGAAAAGGTGGGACAATAATACTAATAATGATAATTAGTATGTGTATATATATATGATACTGATAGTCTTGAATATTAGCAGTGCAACCACAACAGCTTAGATGCGTCCAAAAAACAACAACAATCATTGCGAATATTGCGACAACAACATAATGAACAGCAACATCCTTAACAAGACGAGTCCTCTGAACACGGTTATGAGAAGAAGCCGACGAATCCTGATTAGAGGTGGCTCGCACTGGGATTAGCAGCAAGAGTAATCGTACTAACACAGAGACCCCATCGCCATAAGGGTCTTGTGAAACTTTGACGGGGGTTTAGGGTGTAGCGTTTAGGAGATCGTAGGATTTCGGAGTTGGGCTTGAAGGTCTAGGGCCTTACATCCTGACCATTGAACGAAATCACGTCCTTCAAGTCATCCGCCGCAGAGGCAGCTTCCACCAAGGCGGCTTGGTCGATGAGGTATCTGGAAATACGGGTCGGAGCAACCATGAGCACAATCATATTTACAAGCCAACATAAACGAATAGATGAGCGTCTACGTGCAGATACGGATGCAATCAAACAAGAGAAATAGAAAAGGAGAGAGCAATGTCTTTGTACTGGTTGCGACGTGCAATATGGCCTGACACCAGGCTGTATCGAGGCACATCATGTCATGGTGAGACATGACGTAGTATCATTTTACAGGAGTCTTGGTAATGTTGTACGAGCTATGCGTGGCCACGTTACAGGCAAAAGTTGTGCTACATAACTTTCTGATTCCTTCATACCATGCTACTGTACTCCCTTAGCCCATCCAAACATGCACATACTTGCCAACAAAGTTTGTGAGCTTTGGTGGGTCTTCAGCTTGTCGGCACTGGTTGCTTCGTTCAAAAGCCTTGCTGCTCCCTGCATTCAGCACAGCAGAAGTGTGGCAACTTGAGGATCACCCACCAAAGGGAAAGACACTCAACCCTGATGCGGCAATTACATGCATATCGACGCTCGGAGTGACCTTCGGGGTTTGGGTGTAGAGGGTTTGATAGATTGGGCTCGTAAACCCGGAACCCTAAAACACTAAACCCTTAACCCAAACCCAAAAAAACCTAGTCCCTAAAGCCCTAAACCCAAGAAAGTTTAGCCAGGGCACTGCACTTCCACTTGCAGGCGCTGGAAGCCCATCTTCCGGAAAGCCTGGCCAGGCTCCAGTCATGAGCAGGGCTTTGGCGACTTCAACATACGGTCTTATGTCCAAATGCAGTACAACATAATATGTCAGCTGATGTTGTGTTATATCATGTTATATCATATAATGTTATATTATACATCATTCGTTAGTCGCATCACTAGGCTACTGCATTCGCCCCACACTTCTTTTTCACTTCGAAGTGCTCCGCCTTAGTCTCTGTAGAACCTGGGCACATCTCACAGGAAGTGCTTTGGTAACACATCCGGTCTGGCATTCAGCCGGATACCCCGGGTCAACCTCCCGGGGTTCCGGTATTGCCAAGAGCCTACCACGGCTCAGACACCCTACCGGATGCAGTCGAGTTCTACTCTCGCTGCCACACCCAAAAGAGAGGATTGCCCCACCGGGGATCGTCTCAGGGACGGCGGGTGGGCAAACAAATCTGCCTTTTTGGCTCAACTGCTAAAGCTTGAACCAAAAGGCAGGATGAACGACAACAAATGATTCATGTGCACCCAAGCCTGCCAAACTCGACACATGATATATATCATAAAAGGTATGTATGATTGTATTATATGATATAAAATTATAATATGTTATACTATGCTATACGACCATATGATTTCAAATAAAAAGCGCTTGTGCAAAAAACTACGGTCGTTAATTAAAAAGGTTGCCGTTTTTAATGCATCGTACCATATTCTACGTATGGTATATAATATACTGTATATGTTGTAAATAATCCACTTATATTATGTTTTCTTGGACTTGAAGTTAGAGGCCCGGTCTTCGCCTGTCTTGGGTGCTTAGGGCTTACGATTTCAGATTTAGGGCTCTTGTGTGCCCCGCTTGCGCTGAAGAGTGACACTGCCGAATGCCTCCACAGCAGCGAAGAGCGCCACGAAGGTACCACCAAAGAAGCACAAGACCTCAAAACTGAGATCTTGCACTTTTTTGGGGTACCATTTCCCCGACGGTCTTGAACCGGGGCTCTCAACGCCTTGAAAGACGAAGCTAAGGAGTCTGCCAGGCCCGTGGCAGCTTGGAGCTCGTAAGGCGTCTTGCTGCACACCCTCAGCTCGGATTCGGGCTGCCGGATAAGGGTTTAGGGTTTAGGGTTTACATGACCTGCCACAGCCCTGCAATGCGCTCTGGAGCATTTCCTGCACTCATTTGGGCACAAGCTTCGAGTATAGCCAGGTAAAGGCCGTGATGTATCCTGGGCCAGGAAAATGAGTCTAGGGTTTCGAGTCTCAGCCCTGGAGTGGGTTTGGGTTTCTTGGGACCTCCAGAAATTGCCGACAAGGCTGAAGTCGACACGGCACGGTAGAACGTTAGATTTGAGGCTTCGAGCTCGGAGCAATCGCAACATTAGGGTTTAGGGTTTCTCGTTTCGCATTTAGGGTTTAGTGGGCTTGTCGGCTTTGCTTGTGGAGACTTGTCTCTCGGCTGCAGGATGCTCGCCTCGGCCGATCACGAGGACCCAATCGCCCAGTGGGGCTGCCACGGGAGCCAGGAGTCGCAATGCCTGCGCAAGCAGCGGCGTGGAGGACCTTGGCGGAGGGATTCGGATATGATTAGTTCTCTGCATTAGGGTCCCTGCTAGGGTCCTTTTTGCAAGGATGCCATATTATTTTCGGGACCTAAAAAGGGACCCTAATTTAGAGAACTACCCATATCGGGTTGGGAATCGAGAAGGGCGGGGACGACTACGATTTCCGATGACGGCTTCAATAGTACTAAACAAGGTGAAGATAGCAGTAATAATAATAATCATCATAAAAACAGAAATAACAATAATAAACGTCCTCATAGTCGCTGCAAGAAAAGCAACATCAACAGCAGTACCGGTAGCAATGCAGCAACAACTACACTAATGAAAGCAATAGCATTCAGAGCACTAAAACTATGGCTAATGCGAGCACTAGTCGTCATCATACTACTGATTCTTTACCTTAAGACCCATCATGCTACTGATTAGTTACCTTAAACCACTACCGAGAGCCAAAACTACGGCACTTTTTTTGCAGACCGCGCAGCTCGGCCATTTCCGCTGCAGACTCCAGAAGCCGCTCCAGCCGGCTGCGTGGAGGCTTCGTAGAGGCGCCCTCTCAGGGGTTCTAGGCTTCAAGGTTCAGGGGTTTAGGGTTTAGGGGTTTAGGGTTTAGGGCTTTTGGGGTTTAGGGGTTTGCGGTTTAAGCTTTTGGGGTATAGGGGTTTAGGGTTTAGGGGTCAGGTGCGAAAGCATTCTTGAAGGCTAGAATAGTTTGCGGGTGATTGCAGGTATGGGGCTTCGGGTAAAAGACTGCTAAGTTCAAGAACTGTTAAACAATCATGTCGAATGTTGGATTCCAGGGGTTAGGGTTTGGCCATATCTTGAGCCTTAATGTGCGTCCAAGACCTGTATTCTGCGGTTATGAGGGGCTCAGTACAGTACGTGTCCACATGCTTAGCAACACTCCGGTCATTTTGCAGCTTCTCTTTGAATCCTAGCAAGTCTCAAGACAGGGTTTGAGCTTTCGTCATCTTTGCTCATTCTCCCTGAACCCTCAACCATGACGACTTAATGGCTAAACCACGACAGCGTCGTCTTGCCTCGCAGTGATACTGCAGGACCCTGGGGCCGCTGAGAAACCTTCTGGTCCTGTTCCCGGCACATAAAATCAACTGCCCCGCATGCTGTCGACTCGCCTTCACCTCCTTCCCTGGCGCCGGGGGTGCGGCTGAGAGCCTGTCAGGAAGAGTCACTGGCTTCCACTGGGGCTTAGGGACGATTAAGGTGCAGATCTTGGGAGGAAGAAGTGAAGGGTTTGGGATAGCAGGAGTGCAGCGAGCAGAAATCGCGCTCAGACTTCAATCCCACAGCCCCACCCCAATCTTCCTCGCCTTTAACAAGCACCCTTAGTCCCAAAAGCCACTAGAGCTGACAAAGATCCCCGAAACTTTGCAGATCCCCACTTCCAGATCAGCCTCAAACCAAAAGCAGAATAACATATAACTGTAACTCACAACCGATCGGACGCGACTTTTCTGTAAGCGCCATCCTTTACTTCTCGATGGTTCACTAGCGGCACTTACTCCGCCTAAGCTGACTCCATCAAAAACTGAATCATGAGCTTAACAGTCAAGGTGTCAGCCAAGATTACCCTAAAATCTTAAACCCAAGCCAGGCAACAGCGTTGGATGCATGGTTGCACATGGCGACTGCAAGTGCTTGCCGCCTCGTGCCAGAAAGCCGCCGTTTCTATGCACGTTTGAGGGTTGCATTGAACTGCAATTCCTGAACTAGCAACTGGGGCAGCCATTACTAACACGAAAAATGCTGACTACCGCTGCTGCTACTGCTGCTGCTTCTTCTTGTTCTACCTGCTACTACTACTCCTCCTCCTCC